CAGGCCCACAGAATATCTTTTTTTGTTGGACATGTGTTGATTGAGAAAAACTAAAGTGCATGAAAATGAGAAGAATGGACCACACCAAGGCAGTAACACTTTGCAAAGATGTTTCTAGTTTAAAATGGATTGCAGAAGGTAACCCACGTGGTAAAGATTTTAGTCTTCTGATATTTGGGAATCTTCTGAAATGTGTTTTTTACCAAAAGCCCTGACTAGATTTATAATGTCTTTTAAAGTCTGTGATAAATTCTGACTAATGTGCCTAGTATATTTGTCACAGGCTTAGGGGGGTTGTTTCTCTCGCTTTTGTGACACTGTGGCTTTAAACGGTGCCAGGAAGGCATGTAAAATCAAAACCAGTGCAGTTCAGGATCAAAATCAGTTCAGGAAAAAAATATCTATTATTGCTACAGCAAAACCAAAATCCATTTTACATAGGTCTGGACTGGAGAGGAACTGGATCAGAGAGAAGTTAAAAAAGTGTATTTTCCTTTTGTTTGAGAGTTGAATTATGAAAACTGCTCAGAGTAGCAATGCCTGTAGGTTCCTGGGTAATCCCATTTAAATCACAAATATAACTTTTAGGTACAGATTATTTGTTTCCTCTTTCATGTCTTGACCTCCATATGGCTTCAGAGGTTTCAAAGAAGCCATTAAATCCCTACCATATTTAACTTGGCAATATGCACAATACAGAGGAAGGATTTGTCTAACAAACTTTGACAGGCATGGCATATCAGCCATTTTTTTCAATATACACAACATTTCCATAGTCTGTTTTGTGACAGATGTTGGAGATATATTCAAAATTTAAAATTACAATGATTGCTACAAGATTCATCTGCACCAAAGGGATGGGATCCTGTCAGACCAAGTGAAAAGCACAGTCAGCAAGATGTAATACTTAAGTTTGAGGATCCTGATCCTAAGGGTGACATGCGGTACTTGTTCCTTCTCCTTGCCCTCCTGTTTCTGCAGGACTCCTCTCCATGGTCTGCAGTGGAATAGGATGAACACCCTCAATGCCATCATTTTGCTTCCTCACGGTCACCGCAGTTCCCTTTTACCATAAACCAGCTTACAGACTTCACCCATCAGACCTCTGTTTCACTGTTCCAAGCAACTGCTAGGGAGGTAAATGAAGGAAAGCAAAGTAGACCGTGGCTGTCAACGTGCTCTGAAGGTTTACTCCAGCCTGTGCCAGCCTGGACTACTTTTGTCCTTGAGAGGGGTAATAGGAGTCCAGGTGCCCACCCATGCCCTGTTGCTGCCTGTCTACTAGTCACTGCAAAAGGACCTGGCATCGCACCAGGCCAAAAATGCATGTACCTTGTAGCCCAGCAAATGCCCCAGCTCTGCCCCAAACCCATGTCTAGTCAAGAGAAGGGAAAGAAATGATTTTCAGCACTATGAATTCTTTAGAGGGGAGAAAATACTGCACTGGAAATGTTTCCCAGCTACGTATCAAATATCAAACCACAAATTATTTTATATGTGGATTTCTTGGCTTTGGACATTTTCCATGCAGCGATTATGGTGTTTGCATTCCACAAAGTCATATATATTTTAAAATATATTCCAGAAAATGAACTTGATTGGTTTTCAGGTCACAAGAGAAATTTCTTGCCTTTTCTGGGTATTGTCTGTTTAGCAAGAATGCATTTAGTATACAAGGATAAATTATGGTAGCCCACGGGAGTCAGTGCCACATTGTGCAACTCACACAAACACCCATGGGCTTGCAGAGGAGAGCTCTGTTTGTTCAAGAATAAGATCTGGTACTTCTCATAACGGGAGGTCATATTACCTTAAAATGCTTCTGCCCCGTAGGTCTGCCTGATGAATAACATGTGTTATAACAACTGCCTCTCCAGCAGGAGAGATGAGCTCTGTGGCATGACATAAACAAAAGTAGTCCACAGGCAGTCCTCTAGCGAGGGAGCAAGGGGCCACAATAAGAAACAGAAACCTCACTATGGGCCTGATACAAACCCTGCTGGAGCCAACAGGAAAGAGTCCAGTAGATTTCAGAGGGTCTTGGATTAGGAAGCATGCATACCACTGTCTCTGCTCATATCATGGTAGTACTATCAGCAGCGATGATATGTTTTGGTTGAAATCGAATGTTTCTCCAGCCCTATACCTTCTCATCAACACACGCAGCAAAACCTGGTTCACTTTGCAATCATATTGATGCAAGTAAAGGAAGATTTTACTGGAGTAAGTGATAGCAGATATGTTTCTCCATACCTAAGAAAGCCATAGTGGTCAATGTAGTTTGCAGTCCAGAACTATCAAACTTCTCACGGCAGGGAAGTTTTGTGCAAAGAGAGATCACTGGGAAAGGGACTCCTCTCCTTTGCTTCCATTCAAAAGAACAGAGTGAAATCCTATTGCTAACAAGTAAAATCAGCTTTTAGCTCTCATCCAGCTCCTTGCACAGGAGAATAAAATCAAGGGAATTTATACTGAATTACCAATATTTCCACTGAAAATGGGTTAAAAAAAATCAGTTGAAAAGACTTAGGAATAAAATTAGCTGAGAGGCGGTAATTTGGATTCGCAACAAGTTTTAAGGCTTTAAAATGAATCTTAATTCTTCAGCGGTATGAAAACAAAACCTCTGAACATTTTGTCAAAATGAAATTGTAGAGAAATGCTTGTTTTCTTATCATAAAGCACAATTTTTTCAGCTCTGATCCTCTGTCTCACTTTCTTCCCTTCTTGCTCCCCATCTCACACTCTGTCACCAGAGGTAGCTGCAGAGCCCTAGATCACAAAATTTTTCAGCTGAATTTTTTTTTACATCAATACATCTCCGTGAGTTATTTTGTCTTTTCATCAAAAATGCATTCTGTCAAGAATGTTCATAAACAACTCTGCTTGGAGGAAGTTCTTAGCTTGTCCCAAAAAATTGATACCTTACACATCTAACTGGATAGCCAGCTCAGCTGTAAGGCTTTGGGTGTAAAGCACGCAGTGAATTGCTGAAATCACAGCCCTATATATTAAAGATGTCTGGGCTATTGTCCTGTCTATTTTTTGCACAGAGTGCAAATTCTGTTATATTGTCCTCAGCCTATTCTTACTGTACAAAACACGTATTTAATTAAAGCATTCCTCCTCACAGTTTTGCTCTCTTGAACCTGATCCCAAGGATTTTAGGGATGTACCTGTGAACAGATAGTAGGAAAAAAATGTCTGTCTAGCCTTATGTTCCTCTATTTATCCATGTGTTCGCTTCAACATGGAATTGGCAAACAAAGCTGTTTTTAAAACCAAAGGAAAATGCATGAGCCCCACCTTCCACCAGTTGTATTTCTTTAAGTATAAATTACAAGATTACAAAGTGGCCTCAGACAGAAAACCTTTACCCTGGTATAGCTTTTTGAATTTTTTTGACTTTTCCACAGAGACAGACTTGCTTATTTTTCTTAGAGGTCAGCAGGGTTTTCACTGTTGTGCTGACATTTTGCATTATCTTTTTCCTTTTGCATCTGAAAGAAAATATGCAGTGATGAAATGACAGTGAAAATGCATTGCTCAGTTTAAGTGACACGGATTGTATATATCTGTGCATCAGCAGGTTAGTCACAGGGGCCTTAATCGCTGATGTATGGAGGAGCCAAGCATAACTGAATTTTTTTGTCTTCCTTTGATTGCACCCCCAGTTTTAGAAGCTCTATCTTAAAGAAGTGATGCCTTATGGGTGGGGAAAAAAGGAGAATATTCCAATTAGAAACAACCTAACCTCTGTCACATCTGGCCTTCACGCCTCAATAATCCCTTGAGCATAGCTCATAAATAATGAACGCTCAGAGACTGGCTGTGCAATTCCAGTGCATTCTATTGACTTCCAGGGGATGCACAAAAGGATAGTTTATGTCCTTAAGGAAAAAGCATGTGCTGTTTTCTTGGTCTTCTATCAAATGTATATTCCTAGTAGTTTAATTACTATTTATTGAGTACTGCCGGTAGGCTATACAGGGCACAAAAAGAATTGCTGTGTATAAACAGAACTGATTTTTATCTGCTTCTTTATCATTACCCTGCTATCCATTTACTACCTTTTGTCATAGCTTTATGTGATACAGATTAAAAATACTGTGATTTGAAAAAACTGAGAAATATATAAGCCAGCAAGCATCAAGAAATAACTTCATCATGTTGAAAAAAAAAACCAAACCACCACCCCTTTTCCAGGTACAAAGAGTCAAGAGGATGTAAAACATCACTTTAATCTCACTGAAATGGAAAAAAAAATATAAAACTTGTTCACCTCTAACTAGATAGCCAGATGCTCAACTGAGGTGAGTTTACTAATTCTATGTACTTCAACAGACCTACCCTTTTTTGTTTATTGATGGACTAAGAACTTCCGTTTGCTGCAGTGCCAAAATCTCTGCAAGTGTTGACAAAAAAAGTAACTGCAGAGTAAGAAAATTAGAGGGAAACATGATACAAACTTGTTCCATAACCCTCACAGAAACATACCCAGATGGAACATGAAGAAAAGATGGAAACATAAGTCAGCTTTGTGTGATCTGGCTCCTGGTAAATCACATCTCCACCTTGGGTTATAAGAATAGCATACTCTTAGGAATGGATTTTTTAATTTGGAATAAGGTTTGAAATGAGCAAAGTGAACTATTTGTTGGTAGGGAAGAAATCAACATGCAGATGCAGTTCCAAATTTTTCAAGTCATTATTATTTTTATAGCAAGACAAAGAGAAAAATGCACCTGAGAACTTAAAAATATAGTCCTGGATTCAAATGTGGTGTCTTTGTCATATTTAGAGGTAACCCACTGGTATGTTATTCCTAAGGGAATATTTTATGTTGCAAGGTGTTTTCATTAGCCAAAGCTGACTGGCTGTTCTGCACACATCTTCTACCTTTAAACTCTTTCCAAGTAGTTTTTCTAGGATATTCTTCCTAAAAACAAAAGGACTAATTTCACAACGATATCTGTTTTGTTTTCTTTCCTCTGCAGGCTTAAGTGATAATTGGGTATCTTTTTAGCAGAACAGAAATGAATAACTCAACGTACATAAACTCTTCCACTGAAAATGTGATGGCTCTGGAGAGCCCCTATAAAACTGTTGAGGTGGTCTTCATCGTCCTAGTAGCAGGATCACTCAGTCTAGTCACCATAATTGGGAACATCCTGGTCATGGTGTCAATCAAAGTCAACAGGCACCTACAGACTGTCAACAACTATTTCCTTTTCAGCTTGGCCTGCGCTGACTTGATCATTGGCATCTTTTCTATGAACCTATATACCCTCTACACTGTGATAGGCTACTGGCCCTTAGGGCCTGTGGTGTGCGACCTCTGGCTGGCTCTTGACTACGTGGTCAGCAATGCCTCTGTAATGAACCTCCTCATTATCAGCTTTGACAGATACTTTTGTGTCACCAAGCCTCTGACATATCCTGTAAAGCGGACCACTAAGATGGCAGGTATGATGATTGCAGCTGCGTGGGTGCTGTCCTTCATCCTGTGGGCTCCTGCAATTCTCTTCTGGCAGTTCATTGTGGGAGGAAGGACTGTCCCAGATGGAGACTGCTACATCCAGTTTTTTTCCAACCCTGCTGTCACTTTTGGCACTGCCATTGCAGCCTTCTATTTGCCTGTTATCATCATGACTGTCCTTTACTGGCAAATCTCTCGAGCCAGTAAGAGTCGGATAAAGAAAGGGAAAAAGGAAGCTGCTCAAAACCAAGATACAGCTTCCCCCAGCCTTGTCCAAAGTAAAATAGTGAAACCAAACAATAACAACATCCCAACCAGTGGGGAAGGGTTGGAGCACAGCAAAATTCAGAATGGAAAAACCACTGAAGAGACTGTGACGGAGAACTGTGTTCAAGGGGAGGAGAAGGAGAGCTCGAACGACTCCACCTCTGTCAGTGTTGTTGCTTCCAACATGAAAGAGGACGAAGCTACCAAAGATGCCAGCCAGGCTTCTGCCTCCCAAGACCATCTCAAAGTGGAGAACTCCAAGCTGACATGCATCAGGATAGTCACCAAGTCCCAAAAGGGTGACTGCTGTGCCCCCACCAACACTACTGTGGAGATTGTAGGCACCAACAGGGAGGAGAAGCAGAATAGTGTAGCCCGGAAAATTGTCAAGATGACAAAGCAGCCAGCCAAAAAGAAACCACCTCCTTCTAGGGAGAAAAAAGTGACACGGACTATTTTGGCCATCCTCCTGGCCTTCATCATTACCTGGACCCCATACAACGTGATGGTGCTTATCAACAGCTTCTGCACATCCTGTATCCCCGGCACTGTATGGACCATAGGTTATTGGCTCTGTTACATCAACAGCACCATTAACCCTGCTTGTTATGCACTCTGCAATGCTACTTTCAAGAAGACCTTTAAGCACCTTCTTATGTGTCATTACAAGAATATAGGAGCTACAAGGTAAAAATAATAATAATAATAATAAAAATAATAATGGAAAGGGTGAAGAAGTTTCAAATTAAATTATAAAAACCACAATGCCATAGCACTTTATGCTCTTCTATGGAATGTGCAATCCAGGATGTTAGTGGAGTTACTGACATGGGGCATCAGCTCCACCCCTGAGAACTACACTTAAAAACAATTTTTTAATCATTGAAAATAGATCTTGAGGACATGGTGACATTTGAGGAATTATTCAAGTATGTGGACTGGAGGCACAGTTCCTTGCTTTCTGAGAGTATTCTGCAGAAGGGCTTTAGAGTCTACAATGTTTTGTCATTCTGTGTAAAATACTTGTTCTTCTTTTCTTTTTTTTTCTGTGTCTGTTTAATATGTCTTCATCTAGAAAAAAAAAAAGGGAATTTTAACAATAACTGTGTGAAAGAGGCATAAGAGTTTGGAAGATCCTTACATAATCCAAATGGATCATGGTAGAAGGTTTCTAAAGCTCAAGGTTCTCTAAAGTTTTTTTGTCACTGTCATGTAAGAACCTTAATGTTAGGTAAATCATAACGAAAGTTATTTTATGTTGTTTATAATGCTACCATTTCCAAAACTGCATCAGTTCTGAAAGTGTACTTATGCTTAACATGTAACCATTGCCTAATCTGTGTATCATTCAAAGTCTGACACTTGCCCCCTTCTAGGGGTTTTTGTTCCATGATTCCTTCATCACGTCAGGATAAAAGTGAAAAAAGGCAGTCTTTTGCAGATTGCTACATCCCAAGACTATTTCAGCATCAGTGTAAACCAAAGTTTTTGAGATAATTGTGTTCACTTTGTTTGTCATGTAACATCCACCTATGGATTTGTCTTTTACCTCCATCAACCTTTTCTTCCTTTTTGTACCTTACTTGTCCAAGGCATGAAGACTGAATATCAAAAGAAGTTCTAGATTCAAAGGTCTCATCCAGTCAGCCACCATGGTGGCTAAGCAAAGGGGCCTCAGCTGAAGAATAGGAAAAGGCTATTACTAGGAAAATGAACATTACATCCTTTTAAAGTTGGATGTATAGATGAAGAGGTATGCTGAGGCTCCACAGAATGAATAGGTAATATTAGATGACTATGCCCTTGACCAGTGAAAAGAAGATTCACACTCATTTATGGAGGAAAAGAATAAAATGGACTGATGTGCCCACATGGATCAAGCTCTGCCTAAGCCCGTAGTGTGAAACCAAGGTCCTTCCTAGGTTTATCCCGGACAAAAGTTTTACTTTGTGGAAAAGATATTGGCTGCATTGCCTTTTGTACCAGCTGGGAGCAATATTTTCACTGTAAGCCTAGGGATAATGCTAATAAAAAGGCAGAGAAGAAAACAGTGATTACACAAAAACAGATACTGAAATAGTCTGGAAGAGGGGCTGGCAAGGGTAAAGTTCAGATATTATCTGCTACTCCACACCAGCTCAAATTCAGATTCTTTCTGCCTGGCAAAGAATTTATTTCATTGTTTAATATTTATTGTAGCACAACTGAGCACTGTGTGGATAGGACAAAGTGTATCAGATTACTGGCAACAGCAGTTGTCTGCGAGTTATGCATATTCTGGTTACCTCCTTCTTAGTAACTCTAACTTCCAGGTGTTAGTGAAGGTATACCTGCAGATTTTGTTACCCAAAACAGTAGTCTGCTGCATAGACAGTGTCCTGAGAGACTGCCTTGTGGAGTGAAAGCCACCTACCAAATAGGACATCGAATCATTCTGTTATTTCCTGCACACTATTTCATTCACATTAGAGTCTTCCAAAATGCACTTCAAAATAGCAGCCTTCAAGATTACAGGGAAATTAATCTTGTGGACAAGTTTTACATTTGACAAGCTTATTGGAACACAGTGTCAAAGCACTTTGGCAATATGACAATTTTCATGTTTCAAAGTAGAAGTTCCTAGCAGAAAGTGAAAATGAGGAGGATTAAACTGCAGTAAATTAAGGCCACATTAAACTCAGGATTAATGTGCCTTAATATGCATTCATTGATTTTATACCCCTACTGATTTCATCCTAATATATCTAAGTGTCTCCATGCAGCCAAGGATCTAATTTTGCAACCTTCACTTGCCTTAAGTCATATTTACTATCACTGTTTTCATCTTCCTGTTTGTAAGGAAGAATATCTTGATGATAAGGCTTGCAAAACTGAGTGCTGCTTGTCTTTCAAAACTACATTCACTAGGCTTATCTTGACAGGTCAAAGGAAAGAATTACATGATCATTTCTAGGTCATTTATTCTCTTTCAGTGTTAAAAAATCCAGATAGAAAACAAAGATAAAATGAAATCTGTTCGTTTTCTAAATCTTACTTCTTTAGAAAAGTTTCATAAAAGAAACACATCTGCTTCTTTCTTTCAACAAGCGCTGTGGGTTATCAATAGTACAGATACTAAAACTGGGAAATGATGGTTTGTATTTTCTTATTTAACATTCTTATTTAATCCAGTTTTCCAGCAGGTGTGCAAATCCTTTATTGTGATCTTTGAAGCTGTCACTTGTTCATAAATTATGAATTCCTCTAACAGCTAAGGACAATTCTACAGATTAAGAAGTGCAACATATAGATTAAAATTAGATTTTTTCATCATGTGATGTGATGACACTGAAAATACCATGCAGAAAGAAAAATATTCTGGGGCCAGCATTCATGAAACAAACAAACCAAAAAAAAGAGAAAAACCTTCAGTTTGCAGTTTTCTATCACATTTCCCTAGCACCACCCCTGCTTTTGATCTAAAGGACAGGATGCTTTGGTTTGTGTTATAGTATATTTAAAAGGCTTGCAGGACACACAATTCTGTGAGTTTCCACCTTGTACCAGTTCAATGAAAAAATATTTCTAAGATACATCCACATTCACAGCCAATTAAACAATGCAAAAATACGTGACATAATGCACCTATGCATGTACACACAGGCATGCAAACACACATCCCAACATGGTTTATACACATGGAAAATAATCATCTAACATTCAAGATACAGGATGGGATTGTGTGCATGTTGTACTCACTGGCAGCTGGTGGGAGGTGCAGAGCCAACACTTACTCATGATACTGTCTACCCCCTCCTGGAACAGAGAGGAGGCAGAGCCCTGCCTTGAGACATTGGGAGCCTCTCAGGTCTTCCACCAGTAGTGGCTTGGTAAGACAAAAAGTGGGATAATCTTTCAGAGCCAGACAATAATTTGTTCCTTTGAACATCTTTTGAGCTCTCATGTCTTTCCTTTGTGTCCCAAACCACGTTCACCAGGTTTCACTTCCCTTCTGAGTGATAGTTCTGCAAGATGTAGATGTCGGTCTTGGAGAGCAGCACTCCCTGGGTACCTTCTCCGGCTTCCCCGGCTGTCACCTGCACTCCGTCGCCCCCAAGGCCCCAGGTGGCCCTGCTGCTGGTGCTGCTACGTCTTGACCTTGGGCTTGGCCACAGGATCCCAGCAGCACATCCACACCATGTGCTGCGCTGGCCACTTCTGTTTCACATAGAAATTGAGCAAACTGTACAGGTGACTCATGAGAAAAAAAAACCCAAACACCACCAACAAAAAACTGCGGCTAGCACTTCTTGCCCTCTCTTTTTGTTCCTCTTAATTTTTTTCAGAAACAGTCTAAAACTGAAAGGGCCAACCAACCCTTGAGAATTGCAGCGGGGTCTGTCATGTCGGCAGCCTGTGGGGAGTGACTTGCATTGTCAGAGGCCAGCCCTACCTTCACTCTCCAGGGAGAGGACAACAGCCTGAAGATATGTCAATCCAACTGGCACCTTTTCTGAGTATTAGACATCTGTGGTTAAAAAACCCAAACAAACAAACAAAAAAAAAACCAAAAAACCAACCAAAAAATCAACAAACGGGAAAAAAAAAAGAAACAGAAAGAAATAAAGAATGAAAGAAAGAGAAAAGCTGAAGTAATGTTGAGAAATCTGTTTTCCAGTGAGGACAAAACTTAAGAAAAACTTATGTCAGCCTGCTGTTTGGGATTGTCATTTGATTTATTAAGAATCATGAGGATCTGTTTGGACTTAGTGAAGTGTTTGAACACTGCCTGATGAAAAATAGTCTTTCCTTCCTTCCTTCCTTCCTTCCTTCCTTCCTTCCTTCCTTCCTTCCTTCCTTCCTTCCTTCCTTTGCCTCACAAATGCTTACGGGGACAAGAGTGTTCAAATGGACCCCAGGGATCAGCTTTTTGGCATCCACAAAGCATGACAGGGACAAAAGCAAGTGCTAAATCTATCAGCCCTCTGTTTTATGTTTTTCTGGTGGAGGAAAACGTATTGAAAAAGGAGGCGTTCTTTAGCGAGTGCGGCTGTGGTGAGAACAGCCCACACACTGGTGAGGAAACCCTCAGGGTGTCCCAGCTGCTCCTGGGCATCTCAGCTGGGAGAGGGGCAGGACGGGGTGGACATTTTTTATTTGTTTCATCTCCTGATGGATTCGAATGTGTCCACATGTCTGCTTTGCAGTGGGGCTTGCTAGTAAACTCACTGGCCCCTTACCCATTTTTGATAAATTTTGATCCCTGTTCTTCATTGCTATGGATGTGATGGCTGCCCCAGTGCTGCCTGGGGATGCAGCTCCTGCTTTCTGTTCGGGTGACAGAGCACTGGCACAGGCTGCCCAGGGAGGTTGTGGAGTCCCCTTCTCTGGAGATTTTCAAGACCCGCCTGGATGCAGTCCTGAGTAACGTGCTCTGGGCAATCCTGCTTTAGCAGGGGAGTTGGACTAGATGATCTCTAGAGGTCCCTTCCAATTCTGAAGATTCCATGATTCCGTGATTCTCCTGTGGTGTTGAGGCACCATGCTGAATTTTTCACTTCAACTGGCAGCACCTCTCCTTGCCACTTCTGTTACCCGAAACTGTTACTGGTACTGGCTTTACAGGACCAAATAGGTTAAGCATCCTTACAGCCACCTCATGCTGCAAAGCTGGCCTGATGCAGCTGAGGGGGCAGGAAGAGTGCTGCTGGC